ATGATACTGGACATGAACTCAGGCTTTGAGTATGCATCAATTGTTTGGATGATACTTACTTGGGTATACCCTCGTTCAATTTTAGTTACCCTTTTTATTAATCGCCTCGAATTGACTGTAAAAGGGTGTAATAATTTCATAACCTAACGTTCTCCATAGTAGGTTAAACAACATGTTTGCTATACTGTATTCCGTCTTTGCGTATTGCAGAGTTATCTTCTCTTGGGAGCAGGTATTGACTGTTACGTCATTGGTTTGTGTGAGAAAATTACGTCGTTTTCTCAAAAATTGATGACGTTACTCTCACAAACAAGTGACGTAACAATCAATACCTGCTTCCAAGAGAAGATAACTCTGCAATACGCAAAGATGGAATAGAGCTGTTGTGCTTAGTAACAGTCTTTTATGCTAAAACAATTCATTTAATATGATTGTTTTTGGCACAACGTGTCAATGGCACAGCCATCTTTATCAAATGCCTCAATCTTTATGTCCATCACTAAGGAAACTACCTTATGACGTCATACATGTAGATGTCATTTTGACGTCATAATTTCCCGTACTAATGTCCTATTCGTTTTTATTTAATTGGTTGAGAGTACCATACTTGTTAATTTAATGTATGAAGATTATATTCAGTGGTTTCCTTGTTTTCATTTAATAAAATCATCTTGCATGCCAAGGTGTTCCTTTTTTTTAAATATATTGTACGGTGATATTATTTTTGTTCGCTCGTGATTGTTACTATACATATTTAAATAACAGGGGAAGACTAGCCTTTCATTGAATGCAAACAGTTAAAACATTATTCAAATTCGTCGCGAAAACCCCGACAATGGAAACACCAACATCAAGTACCCGACACTAAACTGCGGGGAGTGGAATCATGTGTTATGTAAAGGTTCCTGTTTTTTGCACTATGTTAAACCTGCCGAGACATAAAATCAAGGAAAGTATACCAGCCGAAAAACAATTACTACAAATGCGATGTAAACAATCAAACACAAATCAACCTCTTTATCATAAAGTTGTTATCGAGAGCACAAGATCTGAAAGCTTGAATTGCCCTTTAATTTTCACTTTTAACTTATTTGAGCTTTGGATATTGCAATTATATTGCAACTTTTATATTACCTTATATAACGAGACGAGTTTTAAAACAAAGTCACAAAATGTGGGCACAATAATCGTAAAACGTACAGGTCGATACAACAATATGTACTTGATTTCTAAAGTTAGAACAATAACGATTTGATTGAATGCGTATTTCGACACCTGACATATGGTTGCCATTGAAACCCGGATAAAGTCAAGATTAGCTTAATTTTATCGGCAAAGATGTCGGACACTAAGACACTGTCCTATAATGACGTAATAGTAAGGCGACACTGAACATTGTCTGTTCCAATCATTGTTATTATTTATTTTGCCAATGCCTGATAATATGAGGCCATAAACCTACATATATAGGTCGGTTCCTTTCAGTTAATAAGAATATTTCCAAGAACCAGCTCCTATCTCGGCGGGAACGTTTGATAGCATTTTAAATATACTCGTCAGCGTGTGTGTCTAAGTATAAGCGTATGGAGAAACCTGCCTCACCTCTTCATATGGTCTTGAAACAATTTGATAGTTATTGTTTATTTGCAGAAGACTGTGATGAAATCATCGATTGACTTTATATTTGGTGTTTGGTACAAAATATAACATTTTGAGTCGGCATTTCACAATAAAAATTCAAGACATACAAGCGGTTGCATAGATTATTTAACATCATTTAAAAGAAAACAAGTAAAAATAATCCTTTTTGAACAAGATCATATTCGAAATCTTTTGATATGATAAAAGTTTTCTACAGATTTAATAGCTTACGCCAAAGGCCGGAACTCCATCACCAAACATCAATATATCAAACTTAGTTTCATGTTTAAATTGTTTAAGAAAGAAAACAATACAGTATGAACATTTGAATGAGATTGGCTGTCAATAAAGATGTGACAGACGGTTTCACAATTACTGCCACAGTTACTAAAACTGGACAAAATCGACAGGAAAATATAGTTTATTGATTCCCTAGTCTAGTTCCACCTGTTTATTTGGTTAGAGTACACGTAACACTGTAATATGTTGACGTTTGAGCACACCCATTTATTGAGGAAACGTTACGGTGATCCGCTCTTCGTTAAACCGTCACGATCGGAAAACCACACTGGATTATTTTTAGCTTGAACTTAAGCATACAAGTAATTTAGTGTTGAGTAAAAAAATCGTTTTGCTGGCCGTTTACTTGATTTTATAGTTATTATTTTAACACTATTTCAGACAGTCTAAACTTCTATAATGCGTTACCTATAAACACACATACAAAATATTACTGACTCCGCCTTCGTGTTGAAGTTCATTGAAACACACAATACTCCGATTGATTTTTTTTTTGAAATTATTATGATTTTAACTCGAGTAAGATCTTAATATATGTCACACTGAAGGCGAACTATCTTTAAACGTCAAAATTTTCATTTTTGACGATACATCATTCTCCAGGGATGCATGTTGTTATTAGTTTAATAAGACGTTTGGCTATGTGTTGGCCCATTGGTGGATTGCATGTAGGGGTGAGGGGAAAGGTTAAGATCCTTTACCACTCTACACAGATTCACATCGGAATACCAATTCCGTTTTTGTGCTGTAAATATGAGAATATAGGGCAAGTCCTTATGCAGCACGCAACAACGGATTCATGTTTTAGGTAAAGGGGTATCGAACCGGGGACCAGCACCACCATTGCATATTGTCCCCACCCTCTGGATCCGTATATGCCTGACTATGCATACATATCATTTTTGACAATTATTTAATTTTTGTCATAATCAGTGTTCATTAAAATCATGAAAAGGAATTTCACCCAGTGTTTGATAACAAATCAGTGGCCATAATGAGTTTAGAAAGGTTCTAAACGAATCATTAAGTTACATGTAGGAGAAGGAGCCTTGCCAGTACTGCCTTCCTAGAATTAGGGTTTACTATAACAGTACTGTTGTTGACGAATCATACTACAAACACAGGACCAACACGTGTGCAACACAGACGTATAATGGCAAAACATATATCATGCATGATAATGTTTAAGCTGACAGTGCTTTGTGCTTTCGCGATTGTGGCGCTTTACAGAAACAGGTTTTGGATATGACAACTCAGAGCACCGTACGGTCACTCATTTGTATAACAAACAGAACGCCGTGGTTAAAAGTACTTTTGCACAACGTCACGTTTACCGTAACTCCATACTTTAACACAAAACGATTATTTGTGTATAATATTGAGATTTCTGTTGACAATTGTGCATGCATTATATGGGTTGACCTGTTATATGTAGGGTTAATGATTATTTCAAAGATGATATTGGTAACAATTTCACACGTCTAATGTATCCCTTGTTGTTTGAAGTAGAATGTAAAAGAATTGATATTGAAAAGAATATCTGAATTGGGAATTATATCATTATCTTTACCGTTAGAGTATGTTGTTTGTTTGACTCACTCTATAGGCGGTAAAAGATAAATAGTTTGGAGTCGGATACTTTTGTTTACTAATTGAAGTTTACTTATTCCGTCTTTGCGTATTGCAGAGTTATCTGCTCTTGTGAACAGGTATTGATTTTTACGTCATTTGTTTGTGAGATTAACGTCATAAATTTTTGTAGAAAATGACGTAATTTTCTCACACAAACCAATGACGTAACAATCAATACCTGCTCACAAGAGAAGATACCTCTGCAATAATAGGTCTTCCATCAAACGCTTTTTTAGTCAAATTTCTGTACATCACTTTCATTTCTAGCATATGAACGTGATCCTGTAATTACTCCTGGTGGTTCTCTTTTGACCGGTTCCTACTTTTCTAAATTTACCATCAAACAACCATAAAAATGTTAGCATGTATATTCAGGAATCAATAAATATTGGGTTAATACTTAATAAAGTACCGTACTTCGACTTATAGTTTTGTTTCCTTACAGAACCGTCGTTTTTATTGGTGATTTAACACGAAGTGTCTATGAATGTCTATGAATGCTATTGAATTTCAAGAGGTTTCCATTAAAAATCGATTCACGATTTTTGTATATATCGTTTGAATTGGTCCTAATTGAAGGTAACAAGCCAGGTATTTGCCCAATTCGTTTAATTAATTCAAGTCCATATTCGCAGCGCTTACTATTTCTAACCATAAATACATGCTGTTTATTTCAGTTCACCAGCAATATTGTTTATATAATTTAAAAAAGAAAAATGTGACACATAAGCAAAGATTTAATAAACACCATTTATACTTTTGGTCTGGAAGAAGCTTGAATATAGGAAGAATTTCTAACTGTCGCTACAGGTTGTACGATGTGAGAACCTAGAAGTTGAATATTACTCACATATGCCATATCGAAATATATGAAAGCAAACATATTTATAAAATCGTAGAAATTGGTCATTATACTTACAGCATTCTGTCTGCGTCACAAAATCAACTAGAATGACAGGTAACGTGACACGGGCCATCAAGGTATTATACATAATTGTCTCATCAAAAGAAGCAATTCATCCAAAAGTACAGTAAATAATCCTTGCAACACAGAAAATAACACAACAAAACAGCAGTTCGCCCCACATAACAGCAATTAACCTCTCAAACAGCAATTAACACTCCAAAAATCTGCAATAAACGCCTCCATACAGCAATTTTACAGGTCATAAGTGTATCCAATGCTCTTTAACAGCAGAGCACCCTCACGAAACAGCATTTTAAAACCACCACCTCTCCTCCAAAAACAGCAATTAATCTCCAAAATCAGCAAAGACGAAAGCATATGTCCAAGAATGCTGGGGTTTCATGTAGCACCCGCTGTGAAGAAATATCGCAGAACCCATCTCAGAAAAATCAAATATTACAATTTATATTTCTTGAATTCTGAAATAATAAAACAAAGAAAAATAAAGAAAACAAAATTATGTATTTGAATGGTTTATTTACACTGAGGAATATATGTACAAAAAGTAAACTGATTTATCAAAATCCTTCTATCACGCAAGACTAGTTCAGAAAAAGCCATGCATGTTAATATATTTGGCATGTTAGCTGCCGGGATAGAAAAGTAAACTACATAAAAATAAGAATGAAAAAGAAGCTGCTAAAAGCAAAGATGCTTAATAACATAGACAAAGATCAATATTAACATTTAGAATGATTCCGGACTAATTGCAAAGTCATTTAAGATTTATTTTTTTTTTATAGCATATGCTTTACATTTGCAATACTTGCCGAATTTAAAAATAAACATCAAAAAAGTTGAAAAAGGAATCTTGTTTTTTTCAACAATTATTTGCAGCAAATAAAGACTCAAAAATCTATTATTCTCATCTCAAAATTGAAGAATATGGCAATTTATAAGTTTTTCAACTTGTACTCCGATCATCAAGAATTTTTTAAAAGGGATGCTACGAGTATGTAATATCTTATGCTACAACAAACTTATGCTACAACAAAAACACAATAAAGTATATTATGAAAGTATGTAAATTACAACGGGGCTGTGAAGTACCGTACTTTATACATATGTTTCGGGTACATAGGAGCACTAATATATTAGAGAGAATAAAAGATCCACCGTTTCATTTTGTGGTTGTTTTGTTGTTAAATCAAATAGAATCGTCACGCTTTTAAAGATCGTCTCAAAGTTATAGATTAAATGCAATATAGAAAAGACTGCTTTACCATTTCGAATTCTACTACTGAGAGATGTGATATAAAATAAGTTAATAAAGGACTATGAGAGTATACGATTATCTACATATTTAAGGATATCAAGCATCATATGACGTGTAATTGTATGATTGCATAATTTGTTCTTTTTTTCCGTTGTGGTAAGCACACGAAACTGTAACAAGATGATGTGTTATGTATTTCCTTTGGGAAACGATGTGTTACACAAAGGGGGATAACCACGTCATGCACAGGGACTTGCCTGCTCTCGGTGGTATTTCAAACAGATAGTCTTACAATGTGATCGAAATCTTGTTACAGAGGGAACATATTTAACTATTAATAAACCATTTCAAAAGTTCAAATGCTTTTTTGTAAATGGTTAGTTTTATAGTAATATCATATTTCCCGTGGTCAAAAGGTTGCTGGATTAGTGTATCCGCGATGATTTCTTCTTTTGGAAGATAGAGTCATATTTCTCTCTTGTCAGCTACAGGGTGGTCATGCATTACACAGCTGTGGGTTACATATTCCTTTCACTGATGTCTCGAAATGATTCATTGATCATGAATTGAGCGAAAAGTATTAATAACATATTTACAAGGTCAATATTAAGTATTGATGAAATAAAAATACACATTTATGATCATATCACCATTATGAATACAAAACGTTATGAAAGACGTGGAACGAAGATGATATAAATAAAAATAGATAAAAAATGCTAGGGTACATATTTGCCTGCATCCACAAACAAATCAGTTAACCTCACACAAACACAGTTATGATGCCTAAGACAAGTTATTATATAAGAAACCGTCTATGAAGAATTACTAAATGTTAAGGATATTTCTCGAAATAGACTGCATGTACCTGTGAATAATTTTTATCTTCAGAATACTAAAAATGGTGTTCCCGTCTGATAGCAATCTTCTTTTAAGACTAGCTATTGACATAAACAAATTGTTTTCAAGACAAAGGCCTACTGGAATAAAATCGTTTTGAAGAAGACCATATGTCTATAAGAACCTTTTTTTTTATTGCTTCCGACTAAAAATAAACAAAAATACTGTTGCTAAATACCTACCAGACTTCTTCATGTAAGATCACGTGTCTATTTAAAACATACTTGCTCTCCTATCGGTCTTTAAAACAGGGTTCCCTTTGTTTCAGTTTTTCTTCTTATTTTAAATAAATTAATCAAAGTGACTATGTCATCTATTTTCTGAAAATTGTTTGTCTTTCTATGACTTTTGCAATTTAGGGCTTTAATTTTCAGTTGCGCTGCGCTAATATTTTCCCAACGAATCTTAATTCTTTACAAGAACGAAATAACAAACACACTGGTGATGAAGAACAGTAAAAGATTTTGTTTTACGAAAAAATTACATTATTGTTATCTTGGCTGATATTATGTGTTTCACAGATACTTCCCTATAAAGATAATTTGTTCGGTTTACTTTTAAATTTCGACTTCATGGCAACGTTTTGAAAAGTATTTTACACAATCTTTAAAAAGAGCATTGCATATTACAGCATTTGATCAAATATCATACAAGTATAATCAGATATTAAAGCAAGTACAATCAGATATTACAGCAAGTATTATCAGATATTACAGCAAGTATTATCAGAAATTACAGCAAGTATATTCATATATTACAACAAGTATTATCAGATATTACAGCAAGTATAATCAGATATTAAAGCAAGTATTATCAGATATTACAGCAAGTATTATCAGATATTACAGCAAGTACAATCAGATATTACAGCAAGTAATACAATAAACAGCAACGAAATAAGATATGACAATGTGTGAAACGATATTACAACCTCCAATTATTCAGTATTGCCATGTACATTGATTTGGCAAAAAAAAATATAATATTATAAAAGTGTCATGAAATGTAACAAGGCCTTTAAATATTACAGGATGATAACAAAATTACAGCAAAGTCATCACGAAAGAAGCTATGATCATACTGAGGCCGGCTTTTGTCGTTGTACCACTGTTAATCAAGGCTGGAAAAGAGAGAATATATAACAGAATTACGTAATTGCAGTCTAATTATACCCTTAATTAACCTACGCTTGCATTCCTTTAGATATTTAACAAACTAAAATAGTTGTTGAAGCTATAAAATATATCCTCAATCTAAATTAGCTTAAAAATATTTGGGACAGCCCATAGACACAGGTTACATATTGGAAATGTTACAGATTTATGACAATCAGCATGGAATTACGTAAACAGTTTCAAGCAGTAAAGTTTCCTAAACCAATGTAAGATAGCCTCACAGATATGCTTTTCTTAGATATTCTATTAAAATGTTATCAGAAGCATGAGGTCTAAATGATAGCTAATTATTTTCTGAAAAACATGATGATGAACATTTAGCGACAAACTGTATTTTTTTCATTAAAACGGATGTGTTGCTCGTTTGGACAAAAAGTCAGCAAGAATAGTCATGGAAATTTAGAATTTAATCACTAACATATATTGGTATCCTACCGTACTCCCCCAAAAAACACATAAGGAAATAGAAATGTCAAATGAATGCCACTTTTATACAATAAACATACACCTGGCAGTAATGGTATGTCATCACTTTAATATTGTAAATTCTGAATAACAATCGGAAAATGTACGCAATTGTGCTGTCGACACAATACATCAATTGCATTTCACTCGTCACAGAGTTTTCAAATTGGCTCTTTAGATGCTTGCTAAACTGAAACAATTTTAAACTTATTGTAACAGTTATAATCTTATATGAAATGGAAACATTTAAGATCGTTTTCTATCAAGAATGTTTGCGAAAATAGTGATAAAACGCTTTTCCTTGTCCTTTTTATATCCAAATTTTGTCATCTTGGGTATATATGTATTGTCCCCACTTGTCGTCATCTGTAAGCTTTGTTATCATCATGTAACATATTACGCATGAGTTATTTCCGAAAAAATATGCCTGAGTGTATTTACTGCATAGCACAAGACAAATGACGATAAATACATAAAAAAAAATCAAAATTCCTCGATAATCCGGATATGTTTATGTTCGCAACAGTCTTGTTCATTTGTATAAATGTCGAGTTCAAACACAGATGTATGGATTACCCTTGTTGGTTAGTTATAAGCCAGCACTGCTAAAGCGTTACCGTCGATATCTTTGGGAGAGAGCCTTGTGCTTGTAGTTCCTTACATGTGTGGTTGCTACCTAGGTATACTTACAACTGCTGGCGGTTGTGAACTTCATGGGGGCGAATGTGGTCACGGTGGGGGTGGGGCTTGTATCTATGACGTCAGCAGAGTACACACAAGCGGGTAATAAGCATAACAATGCACAGCAATAAGCGTTAGTATAAAATAGATTGTTAATCAACCCTTAGTGTAACATAATATTAGCTGAGGAGGGGTCGATATCTGTCAACAATATTTGAATGTTACATCCATGTTAATGCACGCTATTAATGGTACCCAATCTACACACAATCTACCTCCTATAGACTACTGCATTGAAATCAAGGAAAGATTGAAGTGTATGGTGTATGTGTTGCATAAACACTACTTAGAAGTTTCACAATTTTCCTTAAAGCTGTGCAGGTTCTCTAAAAGGGAACATTTGTACTTTTACCTCAAAACGTTGTTTAACAGAATACACTATTCCAGAGTCAAGGCATTTCGTCAAGTTCACGTTCTTTTATTGAACTTCATTAAAAATACGTTTGGGTCTCTTGTTATCTTATACCGGAAATGACGAAAAATATCAAATGGTTTACCGCCTGCGAAAGATACCGACTGTTTATAACCAAAAAGTTAATTTCAATTGAAAACAGATATCTGCGCAAAGATGAAAAGAATTGTGAAATCTTCCTCTATCCTTTGACCAGTACTTACAGTCTTGCGTGGAAGACGATGTGAGTGGGACAGTTATAGCAGATGTTATAGTGGAGTTAAAGAATATATCAGAAGTGGAAGTTGGAGAGGTAGAAGTGGTAGTAATGGTAGTTGGAGTTGTAGTAGTTGGTATTGGAGTAGTAGTGAAAAAGTCATCTGCAACAAATATGGCGTCAGCAATTAGTTCGAGCATTAATCTCATGACAAATCAATTAGTTCCAGCATTAATCGCATGAAAAATCAATTAGTTCCAGCATTAATCTCATGATAAATCAATTAGTTCGAGCATTAATCTAATGACAAATCAATTAGTTCGAGCATTAAACTCATGACACATCAATTAGTTCCAGCATTAATCTCATGACAAATCAATTAGTTCGAGCATTAATTTCATGACAAATAAAATGGAGTAATCTGTTCTTCTTATGAAAGTGTTAGTTTAATGTTTAATGAAATAATGTTTTTTCTTTAGTTACAAAATTACAGTAACAGTTATTTAGTTTACATTATCTCAAGCGTGCATAGCTTTTTCCTAGACGTTAATACAGTGTTGTTGAGATCCATGAACTCTTTGTAAAGGAAGGACTGCCTTGAGTTGCGTGTTAAAATCTAAACATTTCAAAAAGTATTGTATTAGCTGCACATGAATTATTACCGCACATCCTATCATTATCTCAAATCTGTAGGGAACACCGCGGCTGCCATATCAGATTTGTATTTAACGCGACACATACAATTTGAAGATTAAGTTTTGTTTATTTTTAAAACTTCTTAATAACATTTATTTATAACTGTTGTCCCTAGTTATCTGCCGGCTTTACTGAAGTTAGTTATTAATTAGACGGCGTGAGGAACACCAGATGAGAGCGACAGTAAATGAACACAGGAGACAGGGCATCATATAGACGACCCCAGTTACCAGACACTGAAATGTCAAAGATTAATATGACTTCACAGGTCGATCGGTACTCATTTCAATGAAGATTGCTTCTTTTCCAAGAACTAATTTTTCGTTATTTATTCTGGAGAACATTACTGTTGGTTTAACTCAGAAGCTATGTCTTTTGTTGTTTATGATACGCATACCAAATTGGTCGCTTGATACTTTAATTCAAATTAATTAAACGGATACCTTCCTCCTACGTGCACACAATTTACGCAAAAGACATTATTAGAAATAATAGGTTTTTCGCGAGAAACATGTTTGTCCTATCATGCAAGAGGGATATTAAATTTTCTTTCAGTTACATTATTTCAAGGCATATGAATACATTGACATATTCTTACCTAATTTCCTTATTAAAATTTCTCGGAAATAGTCATTTGAGACACAACCACGAATATAGATGTAATCAAACATAATTATATAGTGATTGACAGTACATTTGTTATTGTTAAGGATTGAACGCTATTAAAGCAAATATTGCAAAGCATGGTAAATTATATCAACGTTACAAATTATTCGCAAAAGCTTAAAAAGAGTTAATCAAATTGTCTATAGTAAACTCATATACTGTACCTCCTGTTCGAGCTGTTAAACAGTTAGAATATTTTAAAAACTAGAACAGCAATATTTGCAATGCAGTTTGGTTTTAATAATTCAATTTTCAGCTATATTTCATTTTTAAAGTAATCACTAGGTACCAGAAGTAAGGAAGTGCCTATTTAAACCTTTGATAGGTAATATATAATGATCCTACGTACCATAATCAAAGTTACTGCAGGTAGGGCGTAAGAATTGTACCTGCTGTCCCCATTGCATGATCGTAAGAGGCGACTATATTTGGGATCTTATCTTTTCTCTTCTTTCCAAACAAGTTTCTTCTTCCTACTGTCTCCCTTGACAATGCCTCACTTTTGGCATTTATATGAGCGTTCGCCCCTGTGATGAAGGCTTTGGGTTCTGTCCCCTAGCCAAGACATACCAGAGTTTTAAAAATGGTAGTTTCTACTCCTGCTTAACGCTCAGTAATTTAGGAGTGGGACGACTGGTTCGCCCGTTGTCAGTATAATGTGACCGGGTGGGGTGTTCTGCTGGGTGTCTCAGGCAGTATGTTTTAGTGAGGTAGCACTATAAAGTCGGCATCAGTTCTGCGCTATCACAGGGAGACAAACACGAACATACCGCAGCCTCCCAAAACACACACGCATACACCACCCGCATACACCACACGCATGCATCTTGCACACAGGGGAGGCCGTCCATAAATGACCATAGCTGTTGACAGGACAGTAAACAATACTAAACCAAGCCAAACCATACAATAAACAAGCAGCCATATTTCTATTGCTTATTCTGCACTCCAAATTCCTTAGTTCGTGACCTGTTTTTACTATTCCTTAATTCTTCAGTGTACTTGAATTTGTATGCTTGCTTAATCTTCAATGCACACGTACGCTTATTAAAAAACCCAAAAGTAATCGTTACTCGTTCTTCCTAGTAAGTTTATGTTGATCAACAGATATTGGATTGTTTTTATTTTGTGATTTAATTTTTTAAATGTTTCAAATCACATTATTAATTACCAATGCATAGTCAATAACTATTAGAAGTAAACAAACTAGAGAGCATTAAATCTTCAACATGAACAACCGGCAATATTGTTTCTTGCTCTAACAGATTGAATTCTTACTGTCATTTTGCCCTTACAACTTGTACAAATCACTTAAATACTCAGATTGACAATACTTGTCATATGCATCAAATCCAAACACTGCTTCTATACAAAGCTGTAAATGATGATGTATACTGTACACAACTCACGCGTATCGGGGAATGTTAGATTTATACTTACTTGCAGGCTTTATTATACTCGAGTACACTAATGGATAAATAGTCCTGAGGTTCTGTACTATAGTGGCCCTGTCAAAGCAATAAAAAGGTAACTATTTACAATAGAAATTTACTAACTCGGATAAAAGCCGTTCAAGTCTTGTTGATCAGTAATAATTATGTTGCATTTCATGTGTACTTATCTGAAACAAAATGTGTTTTTTCTTCAGATTTTTAGTTTTAACTGGATTTTTTTTTTTCTTTTTTTGTAACAGATATAGATAACAGTAAGACACTAAAATATATACTATCCATTTCAAACTTCATTTGATAGAAAGATGTCTAGTCAACTTAATAAACAATTAAATTGTCAATGAAATAGACACCGAAAATAATTTTAAATTTAACTTACACAAATTGTACTTGTTCGCGCATGCCTGGTTCTGGTATCCAGTTGAACCTGATTTCCTGTTTATCGCTATTCCTAGTGTGTGTGAGAGTCGGGCCGTTCGAACAGCTGATGGTTTTGTAGTCACGTGACAGTGTGGGGAGAAAACGACCCCAGGCTCGTGTGCCACCAGATGGAGTTCTAGCCTGTATTATAAACCCGCGGAAGGGCGTACCGCGTCCACCAGCTCCGGGAATTTGTTGATTTGGAATCCCTCGGATAACAACTAAAACAAAGTAAAATTTAAATAAAGTGAATTTTATGAGTTCTGAAAAAGTTACATTTTTTAGCAATTTTGTTTGCTTTGTCGTTCAGCCTTAATTAATTTGAAAAAGACTAATTATAGACTAATAGATACTTTTTTACAGTTATTGTTATGTCTTATCTTATCTGTGATAACCTCAGAAACAGCGACAGAACACCCTTCTTAATAGCCATAGGTATGAACTTAAAATACAAGCATCATGGTATCAGTTTAATGATATGGTATCAGGTATCTAAATAGCATGCCCTCTCAATTTAAAAGGGCTGAATTTCCATTGTCGTACAATGATAAATATACCATCAAACATAATCATGTAAGAACTGAGATGCAATTTTGTGTTTGACATTATGACCCTTGCCAGTCAACTTATGGACATGAATGGTTATGACGTAATAGTTATAATGACTACAATGTTTGGTTTGTTGTTCTGTAAATACTGTTGCAATAACCAAACACAGAAAACGAGCAACAAGAATTATCATTTTAGGACTATTGATTATTTATTTCAAATGTTAATATACAAATTGAGCAACATTGTTAACGGCTTTCGCCATTGCACGACAGACCTATCCCACGTCATTTAAATCACATAGAAAAAACTTGCCATTCGGCAGTATACAATCCTTACACAAGCTTGTTGTTACCATTTTAAATACTTTTTAGTTAATGTCTTAAGTTGGTTTCCAGTTCCAAATATGTCATTAACTTAAGCAGTACAGATGATTTACATTGTGACTTTGACATTGACAGTTTCCCAAATTTCAGATAAGAAGAGGGAACACGGTTATGGAGTAAGACATCAACCCTGAAAGCCATATGTATATACTCATACGATCACAGACACTTATATCAGGAAGATATAAGAGAATACCTATTTTTGGATCAATAATACTTTTAGAATTTTAAATTTTAATACAAGGATTGAACGACATTTATTTTCAATATTTATGCCTATATGAACTCAGAACAATTACAAACAGATTTACCATAAAGCCTTAGCAGGCTTCATGCGATATGTATGTAACCTGTATGCGTTCATACCGACTAGAACATTGACAAAAATGCCGTTCAATGTTAATGTAAATAAAAGGCAGTATATCACACATACCAGACATGTAATATAACTAATATATAGAGGATTGCGCACGAGTGAAAAATATCAAAATACTAGCCACACGAATGAAATATATTTGTTATTACTGAAGACACCATTAAATTTATTTATCACAGTTTTAAAGCATAAAACATGAAAAATGTAAAGCATTAAAAAACGGCGGGAATCAGAAGCGTAACAATTAGCGCCATATGCTAATGACGTCTTGCTTGACAACACGGCTGCGCGCCATTTTGAATGGGATACTCATCGCAATGCCGACGTTTTCTGCTATTTTCTGGTGTGAGTGCTTACAAAACTGTTATTAATTGTATATTTATGTAAATACTTAAATGTGTATACCAAACGTTTCATTTGAATCTGAACAAAAAAAACGTTGCTTTCGAATGCAGCGAATAGAAGATACCGTGATGATTGGTCAATACCAAAAAGTGATATTTCACCATGTGAAAATATCACTTTTGATAATTGTCACAGTGCGAAAGATATCAGTTTTATCATGTTGATAGAATCCGATATCCCACTGGCAAAAATGTAATAAAACATTCTAGTTAAACACTACATAAGAAACGCCGCCACTGACACTTACAGTCGTTTTGGTCTTATTTATTTTATGAATAATAACTATAAATGATGATATAGATCATTTACATAGCACCTTGTGTAATTAACAAACCTGCTTGTAGGCGCTTTATACATGTATTTACATGTTGATGACACAGAGTGAACTATATTTTTCCATCATCAGTGTTATGAACTGTTATGAACTCCGACACAAATGCGATATCATTCAACATATACGTCAGGATTGATAAAGTGAAAGAAACTAAGTAAATACCAATGTGATCACTGTAAGGCTGAGTCAATAAGTCATATTTCAAGATGTACGTACCAGAGGCTTCATAATCACATGTTGACCAGCCATGTACCCACGCCGGTACACCGCGTGACGCCTGGGCCACAGTAAAGGTACAACACAGGTAAATATATATATCGGCCAGGTAGGAGTAGACATTAATTTTGTAACCACCTGACAGCAATCTGTCAGATTACATCATTGACCTTTCTATCCTCCGCAGGCCATCATTGACCCTCCCCAGGGCCGTCAATGACCCCTTCATCGGATCGTAGCAGAGGCAAGAAATAGCGGCGTACTCTTCGAATGTTTGTTTCATTAAGATTATACCATATATACACTGATATATCAAACTCGTTTTGGCAATGTTATTCTTGACAAAGGGGCAACCTTGCCATGCCGCAACTTCCCAGTATGTTTAAACATTGTTATTCCCCAAATATTGTGCAAAGTATCTGATACGAATTGTTGACACTAACCAACACCATCGCCATAGATATGATACATAAATCTAATGAAATAGATCTGACAAATAAAAAAATGTTAATGAAAAATATTTTCAGATATCTTCACTCTGACGTATAATTTGGACGATCGTGGATCCAAAAATCTTGTTAATTTGTAAAAAAGATAAATAAAGAAAACTTAACTATCTAAAATACCGTGAGAACAACTTTATAAATTAAAATGTATTGGTCTATTGCAAAATTGTCAATACCACATTATATTTCATTTATTTTGAACAACCAAATTGATGGAAATAAGACTTCGAAGAATGACATGCATAAAAAAAATATGTAATTTCGTTTAAACTTTATACATATATTGGCAATTTAACGAGGATGTTCACAGCTACAGTAGCATAGATTTTTTTTCTTAAGTTAAGAGACAAGGAGCCAAAATGAATAAATGAGTCAATTAGGTTCAGATTATGCATAAAATAATTATTTTGATGTTTATATTTATAGTGTATGAACCAATTTTCCTCATCTCATCAAAATTTAGATCTGATGGAGGATGTGCGGATATACTATACATGATTAAGTGGAAGTTTTACTCGTACATACTTTTTTGTAATTTCGTGAACGTTCCCTTTCTTGTTGGTATCATCCCTGCCTTCCCAACCAATGGTGTTTATATTTGATGCATTTGTTTTGATATTAAAGATTGTGTTTCGAATATCAGGATTTCCGTGATAGATGTCGACTGCTGACGGACACACTTACAACAGGTTATCTTACGAGACAGGTTGATGAATACTATGGGCAATATTTATGGTCGCCGTTGTGATTTCATTGAAGTATATGTTATTTCTTTGTGTAATATGAAGGGCGATGTTTTTGACTATGCTCATTATTGTTTCCTTGTTGTTTGGTTATCACTACCACAGTTCTTGGTGTGATGACGTGAATTTATTGGGACTTGACTTAGATTTACATGGATGATATCGTTTATAATGTAGAAGACTCTTATCTTTTCCTGAACACCTGGTATGACTAGCATTGTTCTTTTGTCGACTGTGTTCATGTCAAACTATCCTTCGTTCACATTTTGCCCTAGTTTTATGAATTCTGCTTTTGAATTATGGTTGGTGCCTTTTTTACTATTTGATGCAAAATGTTCGTTGACATTGAAATAATTGGTTAAAAGAATTTGAGTGGACCAGACAGCTTCGGGTGCAGGAGGTGGGTGTTTAATGTTATTATATGGTAATTAGTCTTAAATTAGTCCAGGATTGACATAGCAAGTTTGCTTCTTCCCGAATCTCTTTTGCCTTTTCATATTGATTTGGTAAAATTGTATTTTTGTTTTGAGGGGAAATATGCTCAAAACTCCACCGTTCAAGATAGAAAACCTTTAATGTTTTATATTATAATCGAGGATGTTCATTTGTTGTAATCTTTTCAAAACTGTGATCAGATAATCTTTCAAATTAATATTTAAACATAAAAGAAGTCCAAATTACCTTGGAAGATTTACAAATTCCTCATGTGTATTATTTCTCTTGATTCTCCACAATTGCTATATATAACTACAGTACGTCAGCCGACGACCTACCCCCGAGTGTACACCAGCCAGGGTCACCCACGACCGTGTTCTGGTACACACATATTAACAGCTTGTTCCTGTATTCTACTCAAATATACGCTCTATTAACACTGAGTTCAGGAAAACCGGCAGGAATATTCGTTGCAAACAGGAAATAGTTTTGTTTATTTACCAGTTAACACTGAATGACCTTGTTGTATATACAATTAGATATATATTTGTACTTTTGGATAAACCCATTCGATGATTTATGCAAAATAAAACATATATAGATGCGAAAAACAAAAATTATCTTAGTAATTCCTTACACGATCCAAAAGGAAGAAAATTTGGTCATGTTTTAGATAATGCTTCGATTAAATGGTCTGATTGTTGATGCCGTCTAATATACAACTTTTATGATGTCATGGTGCGTAGGATACCACTAATACGTTTATAAAGATGGATGGCATAATTACTAAAGAAGAACATATGCTATACACATATATGTAAGTTAATTTGAACTCGATACCGACATTAAACTAGGTAACTTTATTCTTAAAAATATATGAGCTGTTGCCAGAGTGCATTTATGGGCAGTATTGATACTAGTTATAGATAATAAGCGAAAGATAAATAGAATTACGTCTGTTAGATCTTAATGGTACAATAAGCAACATCCTAATGAACGTTATCGCACTATACATCTTTCTGCCACCCATGAAGTATTCATATTCCCTAAAACAACACCAATGCATTGTCATGCAATGGTAAAAGTTAAACCTACCAAATTCAGCTGCCAATCGTTTATACCATGATTGCTACGGTTCAATTGATGGTTAGCTGATTTTTTGACGTTGTATTTGAAACGCTGGATATAACTGATTACAAAGTATACACTTAAAGTTCGAAAGGATATGTCGAACATTTCCTCAAAAATATTAAAATACAAGCAAAAAGACGGCTTTCAATTGACATTCATTATCAATTAGGAGATATAACACAATGTTTACCTTATGTATTTGCCATTTACAGCTATAAGTCATATTGACTACTTAAACGTAAGTCGATCTAGATTGGAGAGAAAAAAGCGAAATATCGACCGCGCGAAATTATAGCCCGTGAAGTATTTCGTCTTTGCGTATTGAAGAGTGATCCTCTCTTGTGAGAAGGTATTGATTGTAACGTCATTTGTTTGTGAGAGTAACGTCATCATTTTTTGACAAAACGACGTAATTTTCTCACACAAACCAATGACGTAACAATCAATATCTGCTCACAAGAGAAGATAACTCTGCAATACGCAAAGACGGAATACTTCAATTGCAACGAATATATTAATCATCAAACCTACATTTTATCTATACTGATCAAACATAACACTTACATTGCGTCTCAATGGAACACCACCTGCTTAACATCGTTTGCGAGAAAGTATTCATGAGTATGTAATTTTTTAAAGGAAAATTGCTTGTCATGTTGTGTTGTCAAGGAAACAATTGGGCATCATGTATCGTCGTCAAGGGAATATTTCCTATTTTATTCTGTTGTCAAGGAAGCAATGACTTTTGTTGATTTTTTTCTCTCGGAACTATTACATGCCATGTAGTGTTATCATGTTAACTTGTCGACCTGGCATTGAAGTCAATGACATTAAGCAAAGGAGCATTGTCTTAATTTTCTGGTTGTCACAGAAATGTTGTCTACCTTGTATTGCTGTCCGAGAAAGCACTTTCCTATCTTTCGTAGGTTGGATATATTAAATCTGATGATACTGAAATTATAATATCCCTATGTTGGCTTTGCATCGCCGCCAATGACTAATGCCATGTATACCTGTCAAGAAAATTTTGAATGTCTTGCACTGTTTCAAGTCTACTTTCTCGAGTTGCTTCTTAGCATTGGGTCTTGGTGTTTATTGTGTGTATTGCGAAGCTTTCATTTTGATTACTTCAAAACTCATGACATTAAAATCACTGTGTGTGTCTAAGATGCACTCGTCTGTGTATGTTTATGCAGCAGATAGGCAACAACTTATGCATTGTATTATGTTGTTATATTTACTATGGTATACCAATAAATTGTATTGTCCAGAAAGCACTACATACCTTGTATGGGTTTCTGCTGACAAGCGGTCGGATTCTGGCACGCTACGAAGTATTGTTGAGAAAGGAGTACGCTATATGGAGCTTTTTCTTGCCTGTTCGGGATACGCTGCTGTGTTTGACGGTCCCGGTGCACGGGCTGAAGATTTACGCACGACTCTGTCTGAGTGGGTGCTCCCTGAGGGTAGCTGTTTACACCCACAGAAAACACACCAATTAGCATGTACACACACGTTAACACAATCATAGCTAGTGTTTAAAATATCAGTATAAGATACTAATAAAGACTTTCGAAAAGCAACACCTGAAACTGGCTCAAGCAATGTCAATAGCTAATACCACTGGCAAGGTATGTTTAAAATCACAGGAAAGAAATTTTGAGATCTTCAGTCATCCCCAGTACATCTAAGACCCGCTCTGTGCCGATAAGTGTCTCCTTGTTTATCTTCAATGTAAAATATATCAACCTCTCTCTTATGAATTCGCGTTTTTTCTCATCACATGGTCATCATTTTTTTTTATTTCAGCCAATGAAAACCGCCGTTAGAAACGACAAGGGATGAATAAAGCAATATTTATGACAAGAAATACGACCCGTCATCGGCAGGCGACATTATTCAGGTTTGACTCAGATGAAGGCAATGCGACTTCCGTGTGTGTGTGTCAATGTACTGGGGCGTTGTAAAGGGTAGCAGTGTATTCGTATAAACATGTACCTGATTATGAGGTGGGTGTAAACGATTCACACACCCAGAATGCTTTTCAATAAATGTCCAGGTATGAAATAATCTCAAAACATGTGCGCACTTATATCATTAAAATATCGTTAAAACGTCATTTATTGGTTAAGAAAGAAGTTGAATTCAAACTTAGCTGAAGTCCAAATAGGACCACCTGCTAACCGGAAAAACACCTGGGTTCAGTTTATGTATGTTTGTTGACGTTCATAGAACAGACTATGTCAACAGAAGGTATATTGACTACCTATGATAAATAAGTTAACAATTTGAAGAACTTGTTGACATGTTGTTGTCAGACATTGTGCAGCCTATACTTACAGTTAGTTTCTATATCATTAAACAGCTCTAGAAGTGTTGCGAGGTTGCAATTTTAATATTTTCCGGGTTTTTTTGTGTGTGTGGCATTATTCGGAACAATAACAACAAAAATAAAATGAAAAGAAGCATTTCTAATTAACCCTACAAATATTTTATTTATAGCAAAATATGTAACACTTGTTACACAAAGTGTTTTTTATTAGATTTATTGACGACGCGGTGTACCTGCACATTTCGATCAAGATAATTGAGTCCGAGCTGTACTTTTTCCGGAAGTACGTCACGAAAATGGACGCTGATGACGATGTGTGGAGCCACCTTAAAATGGTACGTTGTTCTAAATGGAAACTCTATTTCTTTGTATGGTGCATATCTTGCTCTATGTCGTTATTTTTGTACAGGTATGTAACTTAAAAAGCAGTAATAAGTTGTATCGAATATATATATATGAAATATAATTATATTCGCCGTGATAATAGTTATGGTTAGAATGTGACTACGAAAACAATAAATATAAGTTCTCAATGACGGCTGAAGGTTTCGAAGAATGCAACGGCAGCAGAAACTGCATTATTGTTGGATTAATATAACCACAAAACAAAGTAAAAACACGATTACTGAAGCTACACTGAAGAAAACAACGGTAATGCGAACTCTAAATCGAAAAAAACTAGGGCAAATTATTAGGAAAAGTTCACAAGGAGACACTTCAAAACGTATAAGAAGGATAAGTGTTTCTTTATTTACAGTTCCCATAGGATAGCATTACTGAATTTCAGGATTTTTTCCTTTGCGCTAGATTTTCTTTTTGAACTTAAGTTTCGCTCCGAGATGAAAACTCTTACGTAAAAGAAATTTCGTGAAATTAAGTAAGATTCGTGTAATTGAACCCTTTTCGGCTTATCTAGACTTGATGACAACATATTGTTCTCTTGACTAATGTGTTCTGCACTAGCTCAATACTTTGTTCTTTAAGTGACCTAACCAGAAACTTGTCTGCAACAAATACCCGAATGCAACCCACAAAAAGTTCTTGTCAATAAATATTTTCGCTAGATGTCTTAGAATAAATTGACCTAATAAAAACTTTTGGCGATGAAAAAAAAATATTTTCTCAGTGAATTATTATTATAAAGCGTTATTTTCATTGGTAAAAATGCAATCACATTTAGAATGTAAAGAAAAAAGGTTCGGCGAATCTTTTTGTTTGCCAGGCAACTGACTTTCTGGTTTATCAATATTCAGCGGTGTGTTTATCTGTTAATCTAACATTTAAAAAACCAGTAACGTATGCAGTACGACTTGCGTTTTACCTCTGTATCTGACAAAATATCGAAGCACATATTTCTCTCGACTTCGAACTACTTTTTTTTTTATTTCCTAGCACATCGCTTGGCAACACCTCTTTTTTGGCTTTATTTTTTAACGTTTGCGCAGGTGAGGAAGGCAAGGGATCTCTCAACAGGCCGGGACATACCAAAGTCCTTAAAATGGTAGTTGTTATCCCCTACTTAACGTTCAGCATATAGAGTAATGGCAACACATGATTCGCCATTGGTCAGTATAATGTGAAAGGGCAGAATGCTGTACTTTGTGTGTTGGGCATGGTATTTCAGTGAGATAGCACTATAAAGTCGGTATCAGATCCGCACCATCAAAAGGAGGCAAATACACCAATGTGACCTGTCTCCAGCAAACATACACATATGCATGCATACAAAACCCACTTGGAGGCACGTCCTTGAATGACCTAAGCCCTTTATAGGACGTTAAACCATGAACATGCACAATCGACCGATTTTAACATCCAACCAAAGTTCTGGTCATACTAAAACTGTGTTATCATAGATAGACATTTATGGAGCTTTCTGCTGTATTCCTGTAACAGAGGTCATTATTTGTTTAATGCCTCTGCTAGGAGTCGAACCCGGGACCTCTGGTTTACTAGTCTAACGCTCTAGCCGAGTCGGTAGGAAGTGGCTAGTATTTTACCAGGGTGACATACTCCCCCTCCAGGAAAGAACTCGTCCCGAGTTTTCCAGGGGTCATAGCGATTCCTTTACAAGTATAGTATTTTTGTCAAATTTCCCGGGTCCCTACGTGGGCGCCAATGTAACAGAGGTCATTATTTGTTTAATACCTCCGCTAGGAGTCGAACCCGGGACCTCTGGTTTACTAGTCTAACGCTCTACCGAATGAGCCGAGTCGGTAGGAAGTGACTAATATTTTACCAGGGCGACATTCCTGTATTTAATTATGTTGATATTTTTAATTATCAATAAATAAATATGTATTTGGAATGATTAATAATCAAAAGCAAAAAATGACCTTATGGAAAGGAATTTTCTGGGCTCTTCAAAAATACATCTCACTCCTACATGTAACCACATTAGACATTTTATATGACTCGCCAGTTAAGATGGATTAACGACCATATTCGTAATACTAGTCACATGAACCAATCACAGATGTCGTGACAAAGCTGAAATAGAGCGGGTAAGGAGTAGGGATACGGTAAGAGGTGTGCGGAGGGGCGAATGAAGGGAACGGGGGAAAGGGGGGGGGGGAGAGGAAGGGGAGCTGTTGTGGAGGAAAGAGCACGAGGACGAAAAAAAGAAGTAGGACAATGAGGAAGACGGAGACGAAGATGAGGGGAAGGAGGAAGCGAAGGAAGAGTGGGAGGAACGGGAATGTGAAGCAGGAGGAGAGGAAGTAGGGAGCGGGGAGGAAGAAGCGAGAGAAGAAGGAGGGGAAGACGGAGGAAGTGAAAGAGAAATGAGAGGAATGAGAATGGGGAGTATTAGGAAGGGAAGTATGAAGCGGGAGAAGGAGGTCGAGAAGAAAGGGGAGCTGCTGGGGAAGAAAGGGAAGGAGGGGCGGAAGGAGAAGGATGGACAAAACGATAAAACGACGGATAAGGGAGATGGATGAGGGGGAGGGGGGGTAAGGAGCGGCATAATGAGGAAATGGAGCGGTTTGGGAAGGAGGAGGAAAAGAACTGCTTAGGAAGAAAGGGGAAGTAGGGGCGGGATGAGAAAGAGGGACAGAAGGAGGAAATGAAGTAGGAGGAAGAGGGAGGAGGATTGGTAGTAGGAGGGGAAGTAGAGAGCGGGTGGGGGAAAGGGAAGGGATGTGGTTTCTTCGGTGGATAGAAGGAGAGGAAGAATTGGGTAGGAAAGACGCTTAGGTTTTAACTGCTTCAAATCACGTATTGATGACGTCATAACTGATGCTGTAAATAATCTACACGACGTGACGTATTCGTTTCTGTATTCATACGCCCCTCGGAAGGATATTTGTTGACCAGCAATATCACATTTTGCGAACAAAACATAGCAATCATATTCAGATGATGGAGATACGCATCTACTCATAGATCTAATAGATTAAAAGCATTGTCGCGAAGGCAAAAAAAAAGATAAACAACTCCGGTCAATATACAAATACCCGAAAATTGACTTTTCTAACGTCATATATTGGTTGATACCCATCCAGCTGTGCTATACGCCGAACTATGCTCTGATTTATAGCAGGAAAGTCAGCCGTTAGTTTCTCTCCTACGTTTGTCATCATATCATTCCTCATGTCTCCTTAATGTCTGTTGTTGCCTTTTTATATTAAATAATTCCGTTGATGGCCTTGTTTGCTCTGCTAGCCTGCGGTATAATGTATCTTTTTTCTTTATCAGTTTACTTTAAGTGATTAGGCTACTAATGGCGCCTCCGTCAATATATAAAAATTGTAAGCAATCATACATGTATATTTGTACCACGCAAATCCAATTTAGGGTTTGCTCTTCTGAGGTTAAATTCACGTTCAAATCTCGTTTTGATTTTGTGTAACAGTATTTTATTAGATGTCACAAATAATTATCCATTTCAAAAGCAATCATGCATCCGAAAGAATTGTCCATAAATTAGACACTTAAATTGTAAATTTTTTTAAAAAGTTTTTTTTAAGATAATGACCAATTTGGCGACCATTTTGGGAGTGAATTTCTTATGCTCGCAGCAACGTCAAAATTGCACCTTTTAACACTTGCTTATTAACTAAAATTGTAAATGTGTTGCCATTTTTAATTGTAGCAATTTGATTAAAGTGGGAAATTATACAATATTGCTCAGCGAGTCCCAATCTTTTTACCGTTTTAATAAGAGAATCGGATTTTCCTTCAAATCGGTGAATATTAAGAAAACTTAGTCATCAAAACGTTTTATATCAATCGTTTCATCAGCAAAAATTGGTGAAAAAAAAAGATTTTTATATTTAAAAATAGGGTGTAACTTATACTATCTTTCTGAGACCAAATATACTTTCGAAATGCGCGTTCTATTTTTACCAATTATGTAAA